AGGAGGGCTTTTCTTGGCTAAATCTTTACCTGGTTCTCTCTGTTAAAACTTCTGGCTGATCAGACATTTCACTTGTTGCTGCTACACAAAAATGGAGATTCTAGGCTCCTCTTAAGTGCCTGTAACTGGGATCTTCATTATTTTTGACAATGCCCTTAAGAGTGCACTTCACCATGCTCCATTCAAAATCAGCCATTACTCTCAGGCAGTGAGCACAGCTCTCGGTGTTCATGACCTGACACTTCTCCTTAACAGAATCCCTGTATCGTTGCACTGGAGTTGACGGTGGGACAGTGGCCTGCTTCTCCAGCAGTTACACACACTCTACAAGTCTGTATTGGGAGAAAGGGATGGTATCTCCTTGTCTTTTGTTTTATCCCTTGAAGCATGGAAGATACAAAACCTTAACCCTAGACTGGGAGTTGAGGTTATTAGGAGACCCTGTCTTTGCCTCACAACTTAGAGAAAAGCTTCCATAATGTGGAGTTGTGGCTGATGGGAGCTGGTCATGGATCAAATGTCACACACTCTGTATCCTTGAGTTTTGCTATAGTTATTGAATAAATATTTCTTCATTTGCTATATGCCCTTATGATATGACAGTAGGGTTTTTTTTTGTTGTTGTTGTTGTTGTTTGTTAGTTTTTTACCTTGGCTGGATGAGAAATCAAGTGAAAAGAAAAGACACAGCATAAATATTGCACAGTATTCTCAGAGAGAGATTATTTTTATTTAAAGAAAATTGAAACATTTATGCACTTAACAATATCAACACTTTTAAAAAGAATAGAATCAATACATTTTATAAGGGTAGATGACACTGAAGACCATCGAGTAGGCACCAAATCAGCTTCCTCAGGAGTTGGCATTCCAGATACATGTGGTCAGGTTTCAGACCTGTCTCTGATCATGTGGTTCCAGTGCAAAAGAAAGGTTGCAGAGAAGAGAAGGAACAGGAGAAGAGACTACAGATGAGGGAACTATGGGCCGCATTAACAAAGCTCAGTGTACCACATTCATAATCCAGGAACACCCCTACGGGGCCAAGAGGCCTTTCCACGTAGTGAGGCAGGAGTGGGGAGGAGGTAAAGAGACGGCAGCAATTCTCCTCCTTGACACAGAAAAGTAGAAAAATCCCCTCGGAGTTAACCAGCATGTCATTCCTCTTTGTCCAGGAATCATTACAAAATCCAGTGACCCAGTTCCCACACCCCCCCACGTCCACCTCCCAGTAATGTCGGCCAGAAGTGAACGGCTGGGCTCCCCATGCGAGGAAACACTTTGACCTTGTTGGATTATGGACAACATCGAGAAGGGCAGGAGTAGAGAGCAAATGTCTCAGATCTTCAAACAGGGGCACGTGACAAGCGGCTATTTCATCTTCCCAGGAAACATATACTGCAGGAAGAAGAAAACAGACATGGTAAAAAATAATGTTATAACTTCCTGGTAAACATGGGCTCTGCG